TATTTCCAATTGAAATGTTGCGCCTGTCACTCCACTCACTATCCTCTACGTTTTAATACCAAATGTGACATGTGCTGTTCAATCCTATCCACACAGTTATAGTGAAAGTATACATTTACATACATACAAATGTATGTACATTCTCGTACATACAATATTTATATGGTATGTAAGTGGCAGGATGTTGCCACAACCCTTTTTGGCAATCACACCTCCCAGGAGGCATTTCGAAAAAAGAGCATCTTTCCACTTTCGCTATATACATGTCTGTGCGGTTGTAAGTGCAAAGGATATTTGTCTTTTGCCACTTGTAAAACGTAAAATTTCGTATTCGCTGTGAAATTGAAAATAACGCCAATTGTGTAACAGATTTCGAACTGCTACAACAAATGAAATGAAATGAAATGAAATGTTACACAACAGCGGCCTAGACAATGTCAATTTCGGTGAAATTTTAAAATGCTACAAACTTGATTGACAATCTCTTTCCGAAGACATAAGTACATGCATTTTAATACACACATTGCTGTATCTGAAAGATACATACATACATACATCCTTACATACATACACACGTAATTGGGAAATTCGTAGCGCTTCTCAAAAATTTATTCCGGTTGACTATCAGGCCAGGCGTGTTACGCTTTAAATTTGTTGAAACTTTAATTTCTTGCAATTGTTTTGTGATTTGTAGTTTAAAGCCTTTACCTTTGTAAAATTGGCTGTTGTGGTTTTTAATTAGTTTTACTTTACTTTCATTTTTTTCATTTCAGGGCTACACTCCATTACACATATCCATGCAATTTGGGCGCGCTGATGTTTTTGAGCTACTCGTCAATGTTTACAGTAAGTTTTTAAAATTTTAGTTATTAGAAACTATTAAACCCTGTTGTATTAAAAACACAAAACTTTATAACGCAAAAAAAAATAAATTATAAATAATGCAAAAATTCAATACACTAGTGTTTTCCCTAGGCCCGTATGAAAATAAGCAAATTTATTGTACATACGATTCTTTCAAACGAAAATATCCGTCATACCTTTTATGAGTTCTGAAAATTCGTTCAAGATATTTTCTCAGTGTTGAAAATAATTGATCAGCAATTCTATTTAAATTTTCTCTGGAGTTAGAAGATATCCCAGAATATTGTTTGATTAGCTGCTAAATTTTGTTACATAGCAAAAAAGTTGAAGATCCATCACTTATCAAATTCTTGCCTTTCGTGACACATAAAAAAATAAAAAATAGAAAAAATAGAATTACGCGGTCTGCGCAGCTTATGCCAGTTGACCGTAGATTGGAGTGTTAATTAATTAAAATAAACACGGTGAAACCTGTTAGGGACGAAACCTGTAAGAAGTGCAATTCTGTCGCTCCCACGGCAGTTGGGTCTACGTAACCGGAACGTTTTTCATTATGCACCGCAAAGAGCCGCTCGTCTTTTTATTTTAAACCGTGGTTCATGGTAACTATTTTATTGTATGTATTTTAACGGTAAAGTCGGCTATCAATCAATTTGTCTACCCCAGAAACCTATCCACGACGGGAAAAAATTCTGGCGATTCTGAGTCGGACATTTTGTACTGTACATTGTATAAAACCACAACTTTCTAAACTCAATTAGAAAACAACGTCGTATTTCTAATCGCCTATTGTCCGTTGTCCGCATCACACCTTTTTTCTAGTTTATTCCGTCAAAGCGGACTTTTGGTCGAAGTTATCGAACATATCGTATGGGGATTGGGTAACAGTCTTGAGCACTTTTGCTCCAAAACCTGAACCATATCCCATTTTTTTTTTTTTTTTGAAGTAGCGTTTTATAAAAGTGTTATCAAGAAGTGCATATCATAGGTTAAGAAAAACTATTTGTAATTAAAAAAAAAAAATTTATCGAATTGTATTTTTGTTTAATTACTCATTAATACTCATTCTATTATTACTATCTTGTGAGTAGTTTCGGCATCTTTAAAAACGACTGCCCAAGACTATAGTACTTGCCCTTTAAATTACAATAACCGATAATTTGGCGCTTCAATCAATATTTACTATATACAAATGTTCATATCTACACATTTCGGATTTATATAATTATCAGTTATATTTGTCAGTGTAATGTGATAAGCGCACAAGCAAATATAACTGACTGATGAGCAATGGACATGCTCTGAATATCTACAATAACTTAAATTATTTTTGTGAACCAAACGATTGACTTGTGCCGGCAATTATCTTTTATAATGCGCTGTTTTCCTCTTATCTAGGGTTGCCAGACGTACTGCTTTTGGGAGTAAACGTACTCCTTTTTATTGCAATGTACTACCTTGTACTCCAAAAAAAAATATTTGGAAATGGTACTCCTTTCTCCGTTTCAGAATCTGGCAACCCTACTCTTATCGTTAATGTTCAATTCTTTTTTTTTGTAACTTTGTTAGATAATCATTGTTGGTGTAGAACCTTCGGAAATTCGCTTAATTGCCCAATTATAGCTTCAATATTGACATAGTAGTTGACTGTGATTTTGAGTGTTGATTAAATGATAATCAGTTGGTATAATTTGGGGTGGATAGCGCAATTAATAAAATATGGCATTTGAAAGAAGTCAATATTGCCGCGGGAGAATCAAAGCTATTCGAATTTCGGCTCGGAATGGACTCGTTTGACGAATTTTCTGTGTTTAAGGTTTTATGGCGGCTTGTTCAAAAACGATTATCGACTCAACGGCAGCAGTCGAATATTCAGTAGATAAGACTTAAATCAATAGGGTGGGCATACACATGCAACTTTCGTTACAATTGACATACTACATACATACATACAAATGTATTTGTGTACACACATAGATCCTCCGCATTATTTAGTCATATATAATTATTTTTTCTTATCACCACTGCATCTGATTTCATTTAAATTATCAAATTAAT